TTGCCCAGAGTGCACCACGTGGAGGTAAGTCTATCGAACACCCCAGATTGGTAAAGTTGTTGGAGCTGAAAAATGGTGAAATTGGAAAAAGATTATTCTCATTCTTTTCCTCTAAACCACTTTACTTTCCGTGGAAAAATACCTTTATTATTCCATTTTGGTAAGTTCTTCCTTTAATCATCAGTTTTCAGGGAATAGTAAGATCGAATACCTTAATCCTGCAGAATGCCCAAAGCACTTGTTTAGTAATTATTAACAAAGTGGTAATTCTAAATTAATTTTTAGTATTCAGAGAAACCAACAATCTGAAGCTGTTTTTTCAAACTTCCCTATCGCCAATTTCAATAAGTTTTAATTGGGAAATGAGCGCATGAAACATTCTTTTCATTTTACTAACAATTTTGGTGACGCATTATGATATAAGGCGATGCCGACTTTGTGCGTAGCTTAGCTAAAAATAAAATTTAATTTCGTGCTATGGATAATAGGAAGCAATTTAGCTCTAGAAACTTGTATAAAACCAACCGAATTTAGTCTGTGAATATAAGGGTCAAAATTTGTCTAGTTTATATTTAGCACATTGACAGTTATGAATTTAGCAAATATTTCAAGCAAAAGTACTTTGGTACCTCCCTGTTTAATGGTCAATATAATTTTTGCAATCATTTGGCAGGAAAATAACTAATAAGGGAAAAATTTATCTTCAAAGATGAAATTTGAGCATCTTGTGTATTACCATTATCGCAAATGCATGTGCTTATCTGCGTGCGATTTTTCCTAAAAAAATATGATCTGTTAATCTATCAAACTTTTCTTTTGCTTTTCCTTTCAATAATATGTAGCAATTCTTTCAAAAGCCCCACCAAAACCCCACCCGAATAATCGAAAGGAAAGAGGCAGAAGAAGTGCAGGGGTTGGTAGCGTCAACATGACCCAACAAAGGGCTGATCCCCTGTTCAACCACAAGGCCATGTCTATATGTCCCAATGTGTTGGGTCTACACGAGCCTGTCTCCTTTATTGATTTTTTCGATGAGCGTAAGGAGATGGAATACTTTTGCATGCAAAATTAAGTAGCCAGATTCAGGAGCATGACATTGCGTTGCAATGGAATACGGATTTTTTTTGAAGCATGCTAAGCATGATGTATCATTTTGTTTCGACTCTATTTTTGCTGTCACGCAGAGCTCCCATAACCCGGTTAGTTATCTTTTAGATCCAAAGGTGAAATACAAGGTATCCTCAGTTTTGAAGCATGAAAGAGGTGACATTGTGAATAATACTGATGGCTCACCATCCCATCTCCTCTTCGCTATTCCCAGACAGGAGAATTTTCAACGATCTACCAGCGTTGACACCGCCGAGAGCATGACACCACGAGGAATGCATCGGAGCTCAACAAGAACGACTACCTTGAGTATGGAACAGAGGTACCCTGTTGGTGATTCAGTCCAAATAATCAGCCCTGGGGATGCCAAAGGCTGGTCTCCTCATGAACCCGAATTGAATCATTCCGATGGAGAGTACGAAGTTGAAGAAGAAATCAAAGTCAAAAGGAGTCGTTTTGCTGTAACGCATATGGGATTCGGTATGCATTTTCAGATCAGTTAAGCAATTGTGAATGTCAAGTTCAGCCTAAAATATATATATATATCTATTCGCATGCCATTTTGAATGCCGCATGACTTATTGTTTGGCGCTGGTTTAAACAAATTAATTTAGCCTATTCATTTATTTTGGCCTGAGATTTTTTTGGCAAAATGTTGGCCTTTGTCTGAGAATTCGTGACTTTATGCGCATTTGAAAGACGATTCTCCTCTCTTTCTATACATAATTATAAAAATCAATTGCATGGTATTATTATTGTGTTATTGTTAATATTACCCCTTTGAGCAAACGCATTTTAAGCTTTTTCAATAGGGACAAAAGTATTTGAAAATGAAGAAGAGCAAACTGTCCACAAAGGAATGGGAACAGTCATTATTACTTTTAATTCCAAATGCACTTAATGACTAGGGTTTCCTTAATGAGAAGCGTTAGCTACGCAACTCATCGTTAATCCTAATCGAATCACATTTGCCATCTGAAATTGTCTATTTGCTGAAGAATTAGATATCGTTCAGTTGTCTCCAATCACATCCAACGAGATCAATATCATTAATCTGTGAAATCTATTTGACAGGACCAAAATATAGGCTTATATTTTGTGATAATGAGTGTCTGCAATGGTAACACTTTTCAAAATAATGAAACAAATAGAAATGGCTAAGAGTTCTATAATAATCTTATTCATGCGAAATGTTTTGCCTCAAAATGACACCGATATACCTGGGAGTATAACGTTGAAACATTTTAAAAACTTCGAACCAGATTTTGGCCTCAGGAATTCATTGTCTTGTAAAAAATTACCATGGGAATCTTGCCACACTCTGCGTAGCATTCCCAATTCGATTTTTTCCTTCCACATTATCTCAAGCAAATAGAACTATTTCTAGACTGGAGTAGGTAAATGGAGGTTTATAGTAATATAAGTGGAAAGGCCCAGTGGTAGCGAAGGGCCTTAAAGTTATTCACTTCGATTGCTTTCTCACAATTTTCAATGGCGTATCATGTTATTCCTGGAATACTTTAGTATTCCTTTGTAGAATAATTACTGAAAGTATTTGCCCAGTAAAACGGCAGCCAACACATGATAATACATCGTGCACAAATAAATTGGCTAATAGCAAATTTTCATAGAGTTAATGACCATTTCATGTATAAATGATATCATTTTCAATGTTCATTGTCGAAGTATCTTGATAACAGTTGCTGCCATTATAAAATATTGTCCTTGAAATATAGATAAAGTACAATACGGACGATATCAAAAACGGCGGTTATCCTTCGAGAAGATGAAAGAAATTCAAGTGGCCTCGGGACGAGGTCAGTACTACGGCAATTCCACCTTCACTTCGCATCATCACCTTGCATATCAGACCCCCATAACGGCTCCATTGGCAGTAGATGAGCAGTATTCACGAACACCTCAACACCTATTTCGAGAGATATCGCTAGAATCCACTTATGAATCTCAAAACACTCAAAGGAATTCTACATCGGATAAG